TAAAAGAGAAAACTTAAGAAATTTTTGATGTAGAAGAGGGCACCAAGGTATATACTAAAGGTGTAAAAAAATTTATTTTATAAAATAATAGCAGAAAACTTCTCAAATCTTGGGAAATATAAGCATATCCAGGTGCAAGAGATATTTAGAAGCTCAAACAGTCAGGACCACAAAAAAGCCCCCCACTATCTTATAGTTAAAATGCTAAGAGTACAGAACAAGGAAAGAGTACTGAAAAACTAAAAATAGAATTGCCATGTGACTCAGCTATACCACTCCTTGGTACACACCCGAAGTAAGTGCATTCAGCATACTCTGGGATCCCTGCATGCCTGTGGTTACTGCAGCCCAATTCACAATAGCCAAGACATGGAACCACTGTAGCTGCCCATCAATGGATGAATGGAGAAAGAAAATATACTTTATATACACAGTGATATAGTTTATATCATTCAGCCATAAAGAAGAACAAAATTGTATCATTTGCAGGAAAATGAATGAACTGGAGATCATCATAAAAAGAAAAGAAGCCAGAACCAGAAAGACAAGTATTGCATGTTTTCCTTAAAATGTAGAGTCTAAAAAGAAAAAAGCAAAACAAACGAAAAAGCCAAAGATGATATAAAAGACTGTTTCTCATTGCTGAGACAAAATATGCAACACACAAAGTTAAAGGAGGAAAGGCTGGTATTGGCTCAGTTTATAGGGGTTTCAGTCCATGCTTAGCTGGCTCCCAGGCAGGGGAGAAACAGCTCCTGGTGGGCAGAAGGCAGAAAAGCAGCTTCTTTCTGTCCCTTTATATTGCATCCAGGCGACCCGCCTTTTGGGTTGTGCCACCTACACCCAGGGTGGGGTCCCTAAATCCTAGAATCACACACCCTGACCCAGCCACCTATGACCGTGTGGAGCCTTGGGGGGCCATGTAGCCACAGCCATGACATGGTGTGCGGGCAGCAGTGGGGGATGGGCATGGCCACGGTAGGTTATGTGTGAGTATGAAAATACCACAAGGAAGACTGATATTTTGCACAATTAATATGCACTAGTAAAGAAACAGTTTTTTAAAAGGCTCTGTGCCCATCTCTTAAAAAAAAAAACAATGGTATGAAAAATGTTGAGATGGGAATGAAAGAATAAAAGAGATGTTAAAACTTTTAACCAAATGCAACATTTGGGCTCTTTTGAATCATGATTTGAACATATTAACTTGAAAAAGATATTTTTGAGGAAGGGAACAAGGCTGCTATTGAATGATGCTAGAGAATCATTATTATTTTTAGGCATACTAACGAGAGAGTGATTTTACCCACACAGTGTTTTTGTCATTTGAGATGCACATAGAAGTGTCTTGGTTTCTGAAAATTACTTTAAAACACTCCTACAAACAAACAGCTGGAAGATGAACAAATTGTTGACATGTCAGTAACCGTGGCACTGGAAGATGGGCGCGTAGGGGTTATTCTGACAGTTTGCCATGTTTGTGTATGTGAGAAAATTTAAAAATAGCCTGAAATAATGAGTGGATATTGAGCAGGTTAAAATATAAGGTGAAAAGCCCATAGTTTTAAAAAAACTGTCTACTCATTAATATTCTTACTACTACACTCAGCTATGATCAATTAAGTTTACAATGTACCTAAGAAAAATTTCTGAATTCCTGCATTCAATAATGGAAAAAAGTAATCTTGAAACCTTCTTTCTTTTTTTTTAAATTAAAAATTTTTTTGGCAGTATTGGGGATTGAACTCAGGGCTATTGCACTGAGTAACAACCCCAGCCCTTTTTAAAATTTTGAGACAGGGTCTCACTGAGTCACTAATATGCTCAAGCTGGGCTCAAACTTGCAATCCTCCTGCCCCAGCCTCCCAGAGCGCTCGCTCGGATTACAGGCTGCGCCACCGCGCCCGGCAAGAACTTTCAATTACCTTCGCAGCCAACCTCGTCCTCTCCTGAGATGCAGTCCAGCTCGCCATTGCATCTGTGCTGGTTTGGAAGGCAAACACCCGACTTACAGAGGAAACTTCCATCTTGGCACCCTGTGCAAGCGCAAGCAGAGAAGGTTTCCAGTTCCTAACAGGGAGTGAGGTGGAATCCAAGGCCAACACCACACGCTTTCCGTTTAAGGGAGAAGCATGAGCGTGGGGATGGGAAAGGCGGGCGAGTGTCTACCTTTGCAGCACAGCTCATCGCTCTGATCCCCACAGTCATTGACCCCGTTGCAGGCTCTGTTGAGAGGAATGCGCTTCCCATTCACACACGCGAAGGACTCGGTTGCTGGGAGATCTGTAACACAGGAGTTACGCTGGTGCAACTTAGCAGTGGACTTGTGGAGTGACCTCCTTATCACATGTTTAGGATGATGGGGCCATTAAGGTAAAGTCAGTCCCCTGATAAAGCGATGTGAAATATGTTGGCAGTGCCACTATGGTCTGTAGAACTAACTAGGAAAAAGAATGGAAAGTTGGCTCGTGCAGGTGCCCCTTTTGCTCCCTCCGGGAACGCGGGCTGAGGCTGGATGTCTGCAGCCCCTGGGATGGGATCCAGGAGCCAGGAGCATCCGCTGACAGGGGCGCACCTGGCCCTCCCCACTCCTCTCAGCCAGGCCACCAACCCACCCACGCCTGCGCGTGGGGAGGGGCATTAACACGTTTAGGGCCCTACTTTTTTTTAAGGCATTAGAAAGGGAGCCATTGCTTTGGTTTTCACATCGAACACCTGGCTGGAGTATTCCACTGTCAAGATGGAGCAACAAAGTGACAAACACTACTGGGGGCCCAAGGCACTGGAGTGGCCGCCCGGACGCTGTAAAGGAATTTCTCTAGGCTGGAACTCTCTAAGGGGATGCTGGGGTTTCCTCCAACGCTTGCTTGACAGATGTTTGCTAAGGTAACTTGAATCCAGGTGTTCAAGGAAGCAAGGGAGTCAAGTAACTTTGCTTCCCATCTAGGAACCTGGATAGAAGTAATATTTGAATGGCCAGGAGGAAGGGGAGGAGAAGGGGATGTAAAAAGAATCAAGATGTGCACGTGTGGGCACCAACTCCCCATGATGGATGGAATCAGGTACTGCAAAAGGGGATGAATAAAAATAAAAATTGAAAAACATGGATGCCCAAGAAAGAACAATAGGGGAAAACCACCATTTAGGCTCTAAGACCCTAAACACGATGCAGTCCGTATCACTGCCTCTGTGGCTGACAACTGAGTACCAACCGTTTGTTTATCATGGGTGAGTTGTGAAAGAAGCAGGAAGGGAAAATACCAGGCGTGGGCTCCACCAACCTGCAGCGGGTGTGTAACACAGCACACCGGCTAAGCCCTGGTAGCCCGGAACTCTTCTCTTGGAAAAAGTGCACTCGGCCAAAGTGGTCTCAAACCCCTGACAGCGCACTTGCAAGCATTCTGTGGAGTTTATCTGGAGATCTTCAGAATAATGAAACCTTCCCCGAGTATCAAGAGCACCTCTGGAAGCAGCAAAACGAAACGTGATGGTAAAAAAAATTACTACTTGCATTTTACTGTCATACTGTAGGAGGTAAGCGCCTAGAGTAATTTCCTCTCATCTTCTATAAATCTATACGTGTTCTACAAATCAGGTTACAGTCTCTTTGCCTTGGTATTTTCAACTGCAAAAGGGAATATATCTACTTCACTAGGTTTTATAAGATTAACTAAAATAATCACTTTAGACTGACTAGCCTGGAGGAGGACAAGGGGGACGATCTTTTAAAAATTGATTACTCTAACAGAAATTAGAGAAGGGACAAGAGCACAGAATAAGTAGGGTTATAATAAGCCCAAAATAAGATAAGGAAAAGAAAGTCAACAATGTAAAGTAATCACAATAAGGTAAAGTGGGCTAAACTTTTCAGTTAATGATTGACATATTGGATTTTTTTTTTAAAAATGCTCTCTGTATAAAGAACACACTTAACAGGAAGATACAAAACGATGAAAGTAAAGAAATGGGAAAAGATTGTGAACAAAAGAGTTAACAACATCGCTGATTCTAATAGTTAATGTTCTAGAACTATGTACATGAAGTACTTAAAAAGCACTCAGCGCAAAGCAAATACCCACATAATTTAAAAACTTGTCATCGTACAGGGACATTCTCTGACATCAATGCAGTGAGAGAGGAAATCGATAATTAAAAAGTTAACTATCAGCAAGCTAATGTGTTCATTTGGAAAGTACAAAACACCTTCTAAATTGCAAATGGATCAAAAAAGTTTGCATTGACAATCAGAAGATATTTTGAACCGAATAATAAATAAAATATCACTTAGGGAGTTTATGGCATGCAGATAAAGCATTACTTACAGAGAAATAGGTACCTTAAATGTTTATGTTAGGGAAGTAAGAAAAATTGAAAAGGATTGAGTTAAGCATTTGATTCCAGGAATTAGAAAAAAATAAAACAGGGAAGAAAGTGGGAGGGTTGAAGATAACAGCAATGATTAAGGAAGTAGAAAATAAAGAAATAAGGGACCTCTGCCAAACACAAAATACAAAAGACTAATCAGATAGACTCGCGCAAAGGCCAAACGAGGAAAGGTGTAAGTAATATTAGCTGTGGAAAAGTGGATGTAATTATAGCTGGGTAGAGAGAGACAGGAACAAATGTACTCAAAGTCACCCAAGGATTCAGCCCAAATACTTGAGCCAACTCTCAGGGGAACGCAGTTAATCCTCATAACAATGCTAAGAGGCTGGGAGTGGATATTCTCAGGTTACACCACAGGAAACTGCAGGACAGAAAGCCTAGGTAACCAGAAAGCCAGCAGCTGGAACAATGAAATCCAGCCTGAGAAAATCCCCCTGTCCTTCCTAGCACTCACTGTTGAAATCCGAGGTCAAAGCAGGCCACGTTGGCTTCCGCCATGCCCCAGTTGCTTTTACAGATGAACATTTTCTTATCTTGGTCCACAAGTTTTACTGTGACAATTCCCTTTGAATCTGTACTTTCATCACTTAAGGAAACACTAAATTCTCCTAAAGTAGAAAGGAATGAACAATATTTAGGCATTCATTGTTTTATCTGCTGAATTTAAGAGCCTTTAAAACAGTAAAATATCTCATTTCAAAATGACTTTGACGGCCATGAAGATTTTAACAAACCATAACAGGCATTTCTTTCAACAGTGCTTATGTGGCAACGGCCATGCTACCCGTCATGTGGAAGGCCACTCAATCCTCACACCCACCTTGTAAAGATGAAGCCCGCCTTGTCTCCATTTTTTCACAGGAGGAACCTAAATCTAGGAGACGTTAAATTCCCGGCCCAAGTGGTGAAGCCAGGAATTGGAAGCTGCTCTGTTATCTCACTGCAGAGTCTTAGAAGTAAGTCACTTCCGGAAAGGCCCGAAGGGTTTGTGTGTTCTCCCACATTCAGTGCCTGAGGAGAGGGCTGGCACTGACAGACACAGGGCCTAACTCTTGCTCTTCCCTGTCATAGCCAGCCGAGGTGGGCTAAGTGGAAAGCTTTAGTTCTCTTTTTACCTCTCCATCCTAACTCAGCATCAGAAAACTACACAGGCTACGACTGTGAGCTGGTGGCTCGCAGCACCTTTAAAAAGAGCACGTTAAGCATTTGCTTCTCTGACAACTTGATAGCGGAAGGCAGTGGTGAGCCTGAGTTTTGCTCTTATGGCTAAAATTTAATAAACATTTTCTTTGTGTCAAGGACTAGGCAAAGAACTTTATCTGCATCATTTTATTAACTTCCACAAGAATTTTATGACTTGGGAACTTTGAGCATTCACATTTGACAGATGGAAGAACTGGGGCCCAGCGATTCCCACAGCTGGTCAGTAACAGAGGTGGGCATGGAGGAGATGGAAACTGAGAACCTAATCCTGTGCCTCGGAGTCGTAGCCCCTCGTTCCATAGGCACCTATAGGGTACAGGCAAATTTGCCTGATGTGCCAAGCTGGCTAGGGGAGCATGCCTAGCCCGGCGTCTCTCAGCCCCTCAGATACCCAGGGGCAGCCGGTGCAGGGATGGGGCCGAGGGAAGATGCTGGAAGAAACACTGGGGCTGGGACCCAAAGGCTGAGCGGACCCAGCCCTCCTGTGTGACTAGCCTGCCAAGGCCTTCTCACTGACTCTGAACCAGCTGGGCGGTCCCGGGAGGGGGCCCTTTGACAACGCCAAAGGGCAGCAGTGAGACCTCAGAGCCAGGTGCTCTGGGCTCATGGCTGGATTCAGGTGACTCCCGATTTCTTTAGTTACCACTTCAGTTACTGTTGAGGTGTCAAGCATTTTGAGTCATCATCCGAACATTCCACAGCCAAGGTCTTTCCTAAGAGAAAGGCTGGTATACAGTGGCCCTCTTAGGTCACAACATAACATGATAAATAGGCTGTTCTACCTTCAGCTGTGCACGTTCCGTTATTTAAAAACTTGGCCTCTGGACGAAGGCATTCAAAGCTCTTCAGATGGCAGTACGTTGGAAAGCTTCTCCCGTTGGTTGAACACACGGAGGTGCCGTTCTTGGGGCACTGATAGGGGAGTTTGCAAATACAGGTCCCGTCCACGCACTTCTCCCACGGCTGGCAGAAGACTTTGCTGCAGGAGCGATGTGTGTATTTGTTCAATAAGCACTTGGCATCCACCAGGTCCTCCTGAGGGGCGGCTGGCGCTGAAGGGAGCTATAAAACACAAAAGAGCCATCGGCTTAGCAGCAAACCCAAAGCTGCTTTTTCAAACACAGATGAGGATGATGGGGTCCGGTGGTTTTAGGAACCAGACAAACCTGGCTTCTTGCCCCAGTTTGGGTCATATAACTTTGGGAAAGTTACCTCATGAACATGGTTTCCTCATCTGCAATTCTGCGAGGTAATTATAAAGATTAGAAATCATATGCGTGCGATGGTTGGCAGGTGCTACGTAGGCAATTAATGGAAGCTGTTATTACCCTAAGGCCAACATAAAATTATGCCTCCAAAGAAGTCAGTGAATCTCAGCAGTCATGTTAAGGAGCAACACATTTGGTGCTGAACATGTCTTATGGAATGCATTTGTTTTTCTGTTATTAAACACAAAGCCATTTTTTGAGCTCCTACTATACGTAAAGTCTTTCTAGGATGGACATGAACTGGTCTCCACCTCCAAGGACTTTCTTTCTAGGCAGTAAGGCAGGACCCACATACTAGTAGGACACTGGCAGATGGTGGTGAGTGATGTAACTGGGGTACAAAAGCAGCACAGTAGACTTAGGGAAACAGGGTAGGAGAGTGCGTGTGCTAGTCCCGCGGAACGAGGCCAGGAAGGACAGGTCTGGCTGTCAGGATCCCGTGTTTGCCACAGACAGGGGAGGGCTGATGCGGAACATTTCGGGAGTGGGTACAGTGATGGGACTCAGCAGTCTAATCCATGTGTGGGCTGAAGGGGACCCTAGGTTTTTCACGCTGAGTGAACGAGTGATGTTTCTTTCACCGACCACAAGTATTAAAGGACTGCTTGATCTACTGCATATAAAGCCTTATCCTCAAAGCATTAACAATGAGTAAAATAACTCGATTGCATTTGAAGAGAGCTGACCATTTGAGACCATTTGCACTTAATGCTTGTCAGGGTCCCAGACACTCACTAGATATAGAACACGATGTTTATAGTGTCAGCCTGCAACTTCATTTATAAAAAGGCTGAAGTCATTTACATGGAATCTTGTTCTATATACTACATGCCAATCTGTATGTAAGTTGTATAGTTAGGCACTTTATAAGTTTTTCATGAAATATATTCCACATAATACAGAAATATTGTTCATACTGATGAGAATGAAATTTGCATTGAGCAGAGCTTTAGGTTTGCAATTTAAAAATTTTTTTTTTTGAGCAGAGCTTTAAAATGAGTGTAAGTAGCAGTAAACATTTTCTTTCTGCAACCTGTACTTATACGTTCTTCCTGTAAACTACATAAAAATATTGTAGTGAATTTTGGTGGTGATTTTAAAGGTTTTGATTAGGTCAATAATTGCTTAAGCACTGTTTAATTCATGTTGAAATATCTTTACTTTTAGTTCTGAATATCTAAAAACTCATTTAATTAATATGCTATTCTTGATTTAGTGGTATTCTCTATTCATATTTTTGGTATTTAACCTAGTTAGTTTAGGCTCAGTCATAATAGTGGATAGAGTCTCTGTTATTTCAAGAGATGTTAAATATTTATACGCTGTGTTGACTAGCTCAAATGTGAATTCTGTTAGTGTTGCTAAAGAAGAATCTGGTAGTTTTTTTTTAAAGAATGTCTGAAATATAGTCTTACAACTAATATCATAGTGGTGAGCCTTTCCCTATGTGTTTATTGTCCTTGTTCTTTACTAGGTATCTTTTTCAGCTAATATGTCCTTATAATTAAATAAAAAATTTTGAAAAGTAATGAAGTATGGTTAATGACATTATCCAACGAAAAACTCAGTGGTCCAATTATTAAAACATTTGTGTTAAAATTTTGGCTTAAAAATGCAAATTTAAGTGTGTTTACTTATATAGCAGCCCATTTATTTACATATGAATATATTCAAGGATACTGGGAGCATTGCTCAAAATGTTTTGGCAATTAGTACTGTAGCCAATTTGTCTACTAAGCACGACCCCACTCCTTTAGGTGCTGCTGCTGTGTTGTGCATGAGGACTTAAGAAAAAAAAACCTTTCCTTGATAGCTGTAATGATGTAGCAATTACACTTCTGTGTGTTTCTCTAGGCAGGAGTACAAGGAAAGCAGTTTAGACAGTTCCTAGAAAACGAAGAAGAAATCAAACAATCTCCTATTCTATGCCGTATCAACCCTCACGTACAGATAAATAGCTTTACCTCATGCTTCTTTGTCACCTGGTTTTTCCAATGTTTTCCATATTTGCCCTATAAACGAGAGGGGAGAAAAGATGATCAAGTATGACCAAAACAAGAAAAGCTCCCCCACTTTCCCCTCTCTATGGACATTGTTGGGGAGCCCCACTCTGCTGCGAGCTCTGTGTAATCTTGGTAAGGGGCTGTCTTCCTCCCTCCCCCCTCCCTCCCTTCCTTTGTTTCTTCCTTTCTGTTTTCTCATCTTGTTTTTAAAATTTACTTTATGAGTCCACGTTTGCAGTACATACTGACCACATTCATAGAGAGGTGTTGGTACTTGTACATAATACTTAATTCTGACCCATCCTGCTTTTGTAAAACGTGGAAAATAAAAATAATGTTCTCACATAGTTACTTTGAGGATCAAGTGAAACATGCAGGAGAAAGCAAAGAGACATTTAAGAACTTATATTGGCTGAGGATGTAGCTCAGGGCTAGAGTGCTTGTAATAGCATTCAAAAGGCCTTTGGTTGAATTGCTGGCACTACCAAAAGAAATTCCATCTAGATCCTGTATATATATAGATGCTGCACGAACGCTAATATGGTGATGATTCTGGCAGGCAGCACAAAGCCCCACGTCTTCTACCCTCCCCTCAGTCCAGCCGCTCTCTGTGCCTCTCCCTGGGGACCAGGCTATGTCCTTATCCTTTGCCTCTGGACGGAAGGGATCAGATGTGACACAGAGATGCTTGGACGCTGCTCCTTCGACCAGGACTGTCTCCGGTATCTGTGCACAGCTGTGAGAACGTGGTTGGGTCAGCAAAAAGCAGAAGGGAAGAACCACCCTTCCCAGCTGGGCCTCCTCCGTCAGCTGGTCCTGGCCGACCTGCAGGCTGCAGTCTTGCCCTCCGAGAGCTGGTGGTGGTTCTGTGATGGCATTAACCAGCTGGGGCAACGTGGCTTCCCAGAAGAAAAAGTGGAAAACTCAGAAAGAGTCAACAGGATAGAACTATCCGTCCACACGGAGGAAGCGACTTGGATCCCAAGAGTTATCAACCAGTCAGAACCTGTTTCAGGGAAGAGTTTGAGGCCTGGCTCCCTCAGCCCCTCCGCATCACGGTGTTCACTAGTAATTTTGTCTCCTTCGGACCTGGAGCAGCTCTGCATGGGACACAAGGCTGGCCCGAGACACCTCACAGCATTACCCAGCGACCGCTCTCTTCAGAACAAAATAAAAGGCAAATAAGAAGGGAAGGGGAGGGCTGGGGATTTAGCTCAGTGGTTTCGCCGCCTGCTGCACAAGCGCAAGGACCTGAGTTCGATCCCTGGTACCAAAAAAGAAGGGAAGGGGATCAAGCGAAGATCAAGCGAAGGAAGACTGGGGTGGGAAGAGAAGGGAACGGAAGGGACATAAAAGGATGTAGGATGTGTTGTGTGCACGCACCAATTCCCGACGACGACGATGAATGCAATCGTTATGCACTGCAAATGTTTGCTAATAAAAATTTAAAAGAATTAAAAAATAGGCAGTGAATGTTTTTCTATTAATACCTCACAACGAGTTGTTCCAATTCACACAAGAAACTTGATAGTTTTTTTTATTGTTTTCATGTCTTTGGTTGTTTTTGAAATCAGCACCTCCCCTTCCCAGGATCAGGATGTTGACAGAAACCTCGGACAGGCTCTTGTGCACTCATGCCAAGACTTTCTAAAGCACTGGAAAGACTGCTTTGGGATCAACTATCATTTTTCCCTCACAGATTACAAAAACCATTGGCCTGGTTTCTTGATCTTGTTTCTTTTCATAATGAATGTGAGATGTCTGAAATTTTATTTTCTTTATTTGTAATTGCTTGTTTTAATACAGAAAACATAGCGAAATGTTTCAACAGGCTCAGAAAAGTTCCTGGGGAGTTCCATCTCCTCTCAAGCTACCCAGCCCACTCGGAAGCAACCACTTACCGGTTCCTGGTGCAGTTTTTAGGTCCAGCACTGTACAGGTGAGCCCCTATTTCTCTCTCTACTCCCCCCAAACCAGGGACATTTACAACTAAGGGCCCCATACCCAGCCCGCCAAAGGGAATTAGACTGTTTCCAATGTTTTCCTATTATAAATAATTCTATAATGAATTCTCTATGTAATATGTATCATTTCCCACAGGTGCTCAGTATATTTTCAGATTTGCCCGGAAGCGGAATTGCTGAATCTAGGGAATGAGCGTTGTAATGCTGGAGGACAGAGCCTAGTTTTTCGCCGCAGAGGGCGCTCCAACTTGCACCCTCGTCCTCCATAGACAGTGCGCCTGCGCAGTTCTCACACAGGGACCGCAGCCACCGTTCGACCCGTTAAGCTTCTTTTATTGCTGTCAATTTGATATTAAAACTCCCATTGGCGTACACTTTCATTTGCATTTCCCCTTATGAATGTTGTTGAAAATCTTTTAATACGCGCAAATTTTAAGAGAAATTTTTATTTCTCCACGTACTAGCCATAATCTTTTTGGTGTAATTAGATCCCTTTTCTTTCACCTTTCTTTCTTTCTTTCTTTCTTTCTTTCTTTCTTTCTTTCTTTCTTTCTTTCTTTCTTTCTTTCTTTCTGTACTGGGCATTGAATCCAAGCACTTCACACTAAGCAATATCCGCAGCCCTTTATTAATTTTATTTTAAGTTTTGAAACAGGGCTTCACTGAGACACAAAGTAGCCCAGTCTGGGCTGGAACTTGAGTCTTTCCTGCTTCAGCCTCCCAGAGCGAGGACTATAGGTGAGCACTACCCTGTCTAGCTTTTTTTTTTATTTTTATTTTTTGGAAGAAGATTTCATACAAATATATCAAGGAAATCAGCATTTTGTTTGGAATATGAGCTATAAAAACGTGTTGACAAATGCCAAGCCTAGTCCGTAGAGCACAGATACTTTTTAAACGCTTCCTCACGCAACGAAACTATTTTCAATAAAAATCCTGAAACCAAAGGAATAAGTAGATGCAGGAAATGAAATAGTAAACGTTTTCTTTTATTGAAATTCATATGTGTAATCATACTGTAAACATTTAAAAAGTAAAATACATATTACAGTGCAAACAAGAAAAAAGATTAATATTTTAAATTACACTAACAATGAAAAAGGGAAGTCATACCTGTGTATAGGTCTGTTACGGTGACGAATCATGATATTACAGCTTAACAATAATTAAAGACATTAGAAGAAAAGCACAGCAACGTTTTTATTTAAAGGCATTATTCCAATTTGGGAAAATATTTGCCTTGTGAATTATAATTTAGCTCTGCCAAAATAAGGATCGTACATCTCGGTCTGCAGTTTTACCACTTTTACACTTTAAAAACAAACCCCCAGTGGTCATTGGAAAGACAAAATTGAGTAACTCAGCTTTCATTTCTTCATCTTTACAATCGTTAGAGCAACATTTAAACTTCTGCATCTGCTACTCAAGCTCAGGAAAATGGAATAACTCGAGTTTGAAGACAGAGCCCACAGCCAGCTCGGAAAGCTCCAGTGCATAATGGGCCTGACATCCCACTCCTACGGAGGCTGAACTTAGCGTGTGCTGCGTCCACGCCCACTCACAACACGAGGTCGGTGCGGGATGCGTCATTTGAGGAAGTGCTCGTGCTGCTTACGTTCCCACCCGCAGCAGCCGTTAACCGTTCTGTCCACTACACCAGCTGCTGACAGAGGGCTGCTTAAATTTTAAATTAATTAAAATTAAATTAAAAGGAAATTCTGTTTCCAGCCAAGTCAGAGAAATAGGGACCAGATGTACCCTCCAGCCTAAAACAATCAACAAACAAACAAAATAGGAGGCCTTGGTTTTCAAGACACAGGACCTCAGGCAAGGAGGGCAGCGGTCACCCAGGGCGGGAACTGCGGGCGCTGCTTTACTGCCCTGAGCGTTTACTGGTTGTGGCGCAGGGAGGAGGGGCGTGGGCTGAGCACAGGGAACTCCCAGAGCGGGGTTCAGGGCCAGGAGTCTGCTGGGACTCTTTTCAAAGCCCCTCCAGCCGGGCGTGGGGGTGCACATCTGCAGTCCTAGCACTCTGGGAGGCTCAGGCAGGAGGATCGCAAGTTCGAGCCCAAACTGGGCAACTTGGTGATTTAGTGAGACCTCGTCTCAAAATAAAAAATAGAAAGGAGCTCCAGAGGTAGCTCAGTAGGAATGCCCTGGGTTCAATCCCCAGTCCCGTGGGGGGCTCCTGAGAGTACTCAGTGAAGTGTTCATTAGCACTGGTGGAGGAAATTACTAGAGACGGGGGTGGGGGAGCCCTGGGAGAGTTTAGGGTTACACTGCACATCCTCAATCGGGGCTGAGAAGTGTGCTGGTTCTCACTGTTCAATCTAGAGAACTCGGCACTCATGGGAGAGAGGAGCGCACACAAGAATCTGGCCTCAGTAGCAGGGAATAATTAGCTCCAGGCTAAGCCCTGTTCCTATCTTACCTGAGAAAGCTGGAGGGCAGGACCTGAAAGGGTCCAGTGTTTCCAAGCAACTGAACTGCATCCCAGAACAAAGCTTTGTGTGTTTGCAGGAACAACAACAAAAACACACGGCATTTGATAAAGGTAAAATTCATAATACCTGGCATAAAATTTTTTAAAATTCTAAAAATGTAAGGGAGCTGGAAAAATGACTCATAATAGGGAGAAAAATCAATTGAAACATACCCAGGATTCCAGCACAGATTTTAGAACAACCAGGCAGAGACAGTAAAAGTTATTATCCCATATGTTGAAAGTTAGACACTGGCTTTATGAAAAAGACCCAAATTGAACTTTGGGGATGAAAACTACAATATCTGAGGTTACAGTAATACACTGTGTGCAGCTAACAGCAGATTGGACTTTGCAGAAGAAAAGATTGGCAAATCAACATATCAATAGAAAGTACTCAGAATAAAATAGAAATACTCTGGTCTTGGCAGTGATTTCTTAAACATAACAAAAGCATAGGCAACAAAAGACAAAATAGACAAGTGGAACTACATCAAACTAAAACTCTTCTTCACAGCAAAGGATACAATCAACAAAGTGAAAGGGAAACATACAGAATGGGAGAAACTATTTGCAAACCACACTTCTAATAAAGGGTTAATACCCAAAATATATGGGGAATTTGAACAATTCAACCAGAAAAATGGCTGATTGAAAATATGGGTAAAGGAGTTGAATAGACATTTCTCCAAAGGAGACATAAAATGGCTAACAGATACAGTGTGTGAAAAAGTACTCGCCATTATCATCATCAGGGTGATGAAAATCAAAGCCCCACACCAGTTAGGATGGCTATTGTCAAAGTAACAAATCGTCACAAATGATGAGACGTACAGATGAGGACTCTTGTCTACTGTGGAATGGTACATTGTGCAGCTACCATGAGAAGCAGAATGGAGGCGCCTTTAAACTTGAAAATAGAACCACTGTATGACCTACAGCCCCACTTCTGGGCATATTTCCAAAGGAAAGGAAACAAGAATCCTGAAAATATATTCCATGTTGACTGGAATTTTATTCTCCACAGCCAAGACATGGAAACAACTTAAGTACCCAATAATAATTAATCAAATGTGATACATACACACAGTGAAATATTATTTGGCCTTAAAAAATAAATACCGCCATTTGCAGCAACGTAGATGAGTCTGAAGGACATTTATCTAAGTGAATTAAGCCAGACACAGAAAGGCAAATTTTACACGATACTACTCCTATTTGATATCTAAAATTGGCAAACTCATAGGAACAGAATTGTGGCCACCAAGAAATAGCAGAGGAAACAGGGAGGTCAGAGGGTGCGACATCTCAGTTCAGAGCGGTTCCTGGAGCTCTGCTGCACAGCACAGCGCCTTAACATACACCTGTGCACTTAAAGATTTGCCAAGAGGGAGGCCTTTTACTGTGTTTTTTTCACATGCACATAGACATATATGCACACAGCGAGAGGTAACTTCGAGATAATGGGATATTGTGGCCTAGATGGTCGCAGTATTTTCACAGCTGTACATTTATCTCCAAACTCATCAGGTTGTATGCATTAAACATGTACAACGTGTTGTATGGCAATCATAACTCAATAAAGTGTTTTTTAAAAATAAAAACATATCTGCTGCCTGCCTTGAAAGCACAGGGTCCCAAGTTTGATCCCTGGTACCAAAATAAAAATAAAAACATAGTTGCTTTAAAGACTACTGTTAGTAAGTTCTAAATTTGTGATTCCTCAGAGATTCTTCTGTGAATGGGCTAGGTTTTCTCATACCTTTGCATGCCTCACAACTTTTTGGATGAAAATGAGCACTTTGAATTTTATAATGTAGTAAATCTTGAAACTGGATATTCCTCTCTGCTCGGGTTCATCTTTGCTGCTTGCTGTAGTCTGTAGCTGTTCAGTGACTTTTCTAAACTATGTATTTTTGAGAACTCTATTCTTTGTTGTGTGTTCTCTAGAGTCTCAGTTCCTTTAGCTTGTGTCCAGCTAGTGTTTAAAAGGAGATGAGTCCAAGGAGAGAGAGAGAGAAGAAGAAAAACTAATCTTCCCAAACCGAACTGCTCTCAGTCTTTGGAAACAGGTTCTGACCTGGCCCTCCTTCCACACCTACCAGGCACTGCAGTTGCCCCCTGGCCTTGACTTTATGCTCATGCCAGGCCTGGAGATCAGCTGCAGGTACAAGCTCAGGGCCTCCCAGGCTGAGTCCGAGCAGCCCCTGGGCTGAATGTCCCAAGGACGATCCCCAGCCTTTCCCTGGCTAAGGACCACCAACTTTCAGTGTACAACTTTGCGATAGTGAAGTGTTCTGCCAGTGTTGCAGGTGTCTTGACCATTTAGTAACTCCAGTACATGTGACCACATTCTTGTTTCTCCCTCCTTGTGATTTGGCCTTTATTGCAAAGGTCCAGGTTTGGGGACACCCAATACTGGAAGCTCTGGATTTGTCTTCATTGTGAGGGCCCATTTGGTTATGTTTGGCTTCTGAGATCCAGTTTAGGTGCAGCATAAGTAACCCAAGAATATACTTCTGACTGGCCGTGTCCAAATCCTGAAGCCACAGAAATTGTTATCTTTTTGCTTTTCCATGAATTTGCAGCTGAAAGTAATGAATAGCAACCCAATGGGCTGCATGCGGGACCAAGTTAACAATTTGTTTTCTTGCAATAGTATGCAGCCGCAATATTCTTTAGATTCAGGAGGAAAAATGGCCTGCATACGAATCCTTAAATTATACAATTCTACAATTAGATTTATTTTGCAAATAGATGAATTTAGGGTGAAATGTCTTATATTCTACCTTTTATGTTACTATTCCAGAATAAGACCAGGCAGAGAAAATATAAGATTATGGTCCAACAGGAAGGAAAGACAAAGAAACCTATCTCACCTGATTCAAATGAAAAGAAGACCAACTTATTGCTAATTAAGGAAAATACACCAATTGCTCCTTCTCCACCTCCTCCAATGGGGGCTTTGCCTCTCCTTCAGTGCCACCACCTGAGGTGCCTCTCATTCCTGAGGGTTGAGAAATAGGGCACCCCACTCCCTATTGTGGTAGGGAGAGAGCTGCCAGCCCCTGGCAGGGCGCCATCTGCTAAGTCTCCCTTGGAGGTGTGGATGCTCGGATAAGGCACCCCAAGGACTGACTTAGGTCACCCCTTCCTTTGCAAATTCAGGTTTGCTTAATTGGAAGAATAAGGCGAGCACATATCAAGATGACCAAACAGCATGGAAAGCATTTGCTACACTTCACTGCCCATAACTCCGCATGGGCAGATGTACAAAACCACTGTACCTATTGTCCACCTTCCTCACTTCAGAGGATAATGGGAGACAGAGCTAGGGCAGGGCCCACTGGTGCACTCAGAGACCTGGCGACCCTCAAGGGCTGCTGTGGCTGGAAGGTGAGAGCAGAGGATGGACCCAAATGGGAGCGTTACCTGGGCTGTGCCTTGGCAGGGCTCTGAAAAGCCACCCAAGAAACAGGAGCTTGAATACAGCACAGGAAGTGGAACAAAACCTAGCAAGGATGCCTCAGAATTTTTAGGGCTTTGGACCTATGTATAGATCTCTAGATGTAGACCCAGAGGCATAATTGGAAAATGGGAAATATGCCCTTCATTGGACCAAGTGCCCTAGGTACACAGAAGATACTGCAAAAGGTAGAAGGGGGGAAGGGGCTGGGGATTTAGCTCAGTGGTTTTGCAGCCTGCCTTG